ACCAGCCCCCCCCCCCCTCCCACCTCCCCCCCATCCCCCCCCTCCTCTCCCCTCCCACCTCCCGCCCCAACCTCCCCCCCACCCACCGAAAATAAGCGGAGAGTAAGCAAATAGCACCCATCGAAAGCCGAATATAAGCGGAGCGTAGGCAAACAGCGCCCATCAACAGCCGAATATAAGCAGATCGAAAGGCGAATATAAGCGTAGAGCAAGCAATCAGCATCCAACACAAAAGTGCCCCCCACAACCCCCGCAACAATGACTCATTAATGAGTTGGCTAAAGTGGTGAAAGTTGCAAGAATCATAATACCTAGGGCCCTAGTATAACGTGGTCAGAAGCTCTACATAGTGGTAGCCCCTAGCCCTAGCCCTAGCCTAGCCGCCCTAGCCGCTAGCCGCAGCCGTGTGGCAGCGTTCTATATGTTTGGGGTTGAATTCCCGAAATCCCGAGCGAGTATGCGCCCTACGGCCTCCGTCCATGTCCAATCCATTTGGGGGTTTCTGCGTCTAAGTCTAAAATATGAACATGCAGCCCTACCCCTACCTACTACCAGGATCTAAGATTTCAGGGTCAGGGTTGCAGGCGCTAGTAACACTAGTCACTCGTCACTAGTAAAGTTGATTAGTCACGACTGCGACGAGTGCACATTGCACACAAGAACAGAATCAGAGGCTATCATCCCAAACCACAGTCCTGCTTGCGTTGCTGCTTGAGCGATACAATGGCGGGATGGTCGTCCGACAGCATGAAGTCGCGGATGGGCAAAGGCGGTCGCTTGCCCAGCTCGCCCAGCAAGGCCTGCACATAATAAGGGAGCACGGATCAAGATGACTGGGGACTAGGGTTTAGGAGTTTAGGGCTAGGGCCTAGGGCTTAGGATTATGGCAAAAAGTTTAGTCTAGTGTAGGTCCAGGTACAGTGTAGGGCCCGGATATGCGTTTGCAAGCAGGTTGGGGCTTGAGGTTGTTGCGCAAGATTGTTACAGTTGTAGTAATAGGTTCTTTACGGCCAGTGTAGGCGTGTGACAGCGAGCAGAAGACGTAGAGAGAAAGCGAGAGAGAGAGAG